ATAATATGGAATAATGGGAGCCAAAATGGTGCTTAAGAATATTTGATAAATGATGAATTCGTTAGGGTCTAAGCATCATGCTTTAATGACCAACGTCTAGAAAGCTGTAAATATCGTGATAGTTTGCAAATGTTATTTGTGTGTCTCCTTGTTGTAACTTGTAATCACAAAACATTTATACTTTCCGTACTTCGTAAAATGTAGGGGTGAACATAATTCGGTTTGTGACAAATTTTAAAACCAAACCACTTAAAATAAAATGTATGGGTGAACACGATTAGGTTTGGTCTTATAGCTCCACTCGATCAGTTATTGAACAATTTTATTTTCTTGTCAACCCCTATATATTCAAATAAAAGGATAAATCTAGTTATACATTTGCCTGAAATGCAGCTTGTAGTTGCCACTACTGTTGCCTGCAATAGGCATGCTAGCTTTTTAATTTATTTTTTTAAGGTTCAGCTTGGGCTCGAGCTAACGCCACAAAATGGGGCATCATTTTACCAAGCCAAGTCGATTCATGCTTTTTTCGGGCCTAGTCATGGATTGCCCAAGTCGACAAGCCAAATTTACAGCCTTAATCATTTAAGACGAAATAAGATCTATGATCTCTCCATCTTGGGTTCCCCAACATAATTATTCAAATCAGTTAAACTTTTGATGTATTTTTTGTAAAAAAAATATTTTGTTGTTGATTTAATTAGAGGTGTTGAAAATATACTTCAATCACTACATTATTATTATTATTATTATTATTATTATTATTATTATTATTGAAAAGAGTCGTAAGATTGAATAAAGTTTGTTATTGTATTTTAAGCATTACTAATACTATTTATACAAATACATAAAAGAAAAGCCATCGATGAAGTTATACGTTATTCAAAAATTGAAATAAATAAAATTTGTGTAATTTTTTAAAATGAAAAAATGCCTCTAAAATTATCATAAACCTCATGAGAGGTATGCGCTATTCAAAAAATGAAATAAGAGAAGCTTGTCTAATTTTTGAAAAGGGAGGAATGTCTCTAATATTGTCAAAAAATCTCGTAAATGTCTATATAATTTGAGCCTAAGTTTACACCTTGAATTTTAATAACTCTATCACATTTTAATTGAATGAAATGTCCCATAACCTTTACTCATTAGTACTTTCATGCGCCCACACATTTTTTCGTCATATTTATACTCTCATATTAATATAAGTTGTCTATAGTTTTTGTCTAAAAATTACGTCATAATAAAAATATTTATTTGTCCCTCTTATTATAAATAGCCAAAAACAAAATACAAATACAAAAAGATTAAATATTTGTCTTTCGTTTTAAAGTGCACAAACAATGTCTTTTTTGATGAAAACATTGATTAAAACAAAATTTGCTAGTTAAGATAAAGTCAAAGGTAAAAGTATGATGAGAAAAGTAATGTAAATATAATATAATAATAAATAAAGTTCAAAGACTTTGTGTTGTGTCGTATTTTTATATTCTAAAACTTATTTTTGAGGTCAACTTTTAAGCTTACCCAAACGTGGACCAATACCCGTGCCCTAACTCTTCCGTGTTTTGGGGTTCTGAATTCATCCTCTCTTCTCTGCAATTTGAAATTTCTGAAGGGGAAGTTTTCAAATGGGTAATGTTACATGTACACAATCATTCACATAATTGTT